GTCTATTAAAACGCACAACATATTAAAGCGTCTTTGGTGTTTCCATGTTTTCTACAAAACAAAACCGGAAATCGAGGATGTATGACGTCATTTGGCAGGCGACACAATGACACTATATACACGGTCTGTGTCACTAGTTAAAATTGCTTATTTCTCTGGAATTAAACATTATTCGATATGTAAGTACACAAGTTAGCAAAATATATAACACTGTTCTAGTGGTTTTTGGATGTTTTAATAAAAAAATCTTACATATTGTGCCTTTAAGTGTCCCATAATCTCTCAATACTTTCTGGGGCATTGCATATTGTTGAAAGTGAGAATGACAGAATGTTTTTATGGTGTGTAGGCTTCTGTTTTCCTCTGTGTTCCATGCTTAACTAAACGTCTGCCCACACAAAGTGACAGAATGTGTGTGATTCATTTCACTTCCAGTTATACTTAGGCTCATATTTTTACAAATAAACACATTTTTTACAGACCTAGTCACGTATCAGTATGCTTTCAATCCAAGGTGATACATAAATTAGTTATCTGTACCACGTCAGTAGTTAACCATGTTGTTAACCTCCCAGAGCCCTTTCTTATGTTGACTGTAATTTTGTGTGAGACAACTCATAGGTACTAATTTATGTCGGTGTTAGTGCCTTTCCAGAATGCATAATTTTATCTCAAATATTCTACTGAGTTTTTATTTGAAGGGTTTTATTAAGAATTATTAGTTATTGAGAGGTCCTCCTACTTTTCCCAAGCAAACACTTTTTCAGGATACAGTATGCTTTATGAAAAAGAAGTGTACTTTAGAATACTTTTAAAAAGAGCACTTATTATGGAAGTAATATACTTAGAAAAAATTATATATATATATATATATATATATATATATGTGTGTGTGTGTGTGTGTGTGTGTGAAGAATATGCATAAGTGTGAACAATGTGAGAATGTGTACTTAAGTGTGAGCTAATGTTTTTGGACACATAATTCCATGTTACTTTAAAATGAAAATGCATTATGCTATATTTTAAATTTATATTAAATGCAATCAGCTGAATTTTAGAGTGTTTTTGACCCATTTAACTAGGACTTAAAATTATTTACTCACCTTCAAGTCTTCCCAAACTTGTTTGAGACATATGATTTTCTTGAATGATGTTTGATTTTCTTTCTTATGTGCAACTCAAAATGAAAATGTTTTGCAGAAAGTCCTGAAGCTCTTTTCCATGCAATGACTGATTGTTCATTATAACCAATGAGGTTAGACTTCATTGATGAGTTGTATTTCAATGTACACAACTGGCAATGATATTTGAGAGCTACGGCAGAGGGTTTTTAAGTAAGTGGTCTTTAAATGTGTGGCTTCCAAAGACTTGAAATATTGTGTAAAAGATCTATCAACTTCTGTTTTGGTTGATGTCAGTTTTAGAGCTCAAATATTCAGCAAAATCTTATTTTTTGTTTCACAGACAAAAGAACAATCATACAGGTGGCACAACATGAGGGTGTGTAAATGATGACAGAATTAGCATTTTTGTTTACAACAATCCCTTTAATTCTGACCTATTATCTGCGAACCTTACTCAACTCCTGTAGATGAATCTTAGACTAGAAAGAGGTGCACTTTAGGTTGTACAACTGAGTATTAATATTTTATGCCTTCTGCCATAATAAATGTAAATAACACATCATAGAAGTATTCATGTAGTCAAGATGGATTATGAGACTACAACTGCCTGACTATGGAACCTTTCCCTTTGCTTTCTTTTTCCTGGTTTCCTTCAAAGAAAATGGACAAATAGGCAACTCACCATCTGGACGTGTACTCAGTTCTAAATCACCTTTATAACAGCTTGCTTTGGATGCAGCATTTATATTGCTACTTAGACCGGGCAGCTTTCACCAGGATTATTTTGGCCCATCTTAAACAACACTAAAGGTATTAATTTGTAATGTGGCTGTTCTGGATTATTTACCCAAGTGAGAATTAAAAAGCATACATTGAAAAGTTACATTGAGTATGTATTAAAATCTAATAATAGTATTTGTATAGTACTATATAAGCAGGATATAGTACATGGTAAAGGAGCCAGATTTAGGCCCAATCCCAATTCTATTTTATACCCCTTCCCCTTCCCGTAACATGACCGTAAATATGAACTCACGATTGAATGTAACATAAAACAAATGATTACTTTTCGTTAAAATCTTTATTAATGCCAAAAATGCTTACATTTATGTGTCTTTTTGTTCGCTCGGGCAGCCATGTTGCCCCTGAAGCCGGTTTACGCTGAGATAATTCATACCCCTTCGTTTGAAGTGTGGTCCAGAAAAATCTTCGTTTGAAGGGCTGTCTGGCCCTTCCCCTTACCCCTACCCCTCCAACCAAAAGAGAATCGAGACACCCCTACCCCTTCACGTGAACGCGCGAAACGGAAAGGGGAAGGGCTAAGGGGTAGAATTGGGATTGGGCCTTAATAATGCCATACTTAGCTGAAATGAAAAAAATAAATAAGTCTTGTTTGTCTTTCATCAGGCATTCAGACTGATTCAGTTCATGTCTACTATATTAGTGACATCATTTGGTTCCATTTGCTTGATTGCTCAACTCAAGAGATTCAGTCCTGAAGCAATGTTTTGTTGTTTGCTGTGTGTGTGTGTGTGTGTGTGTGTGTGTGTGTGTGATCAGAAACGGTCAGCTCTGGTCATTCATATGGGTTGTGTTAAAATGGAAAATGTGCCCTGTGTTTCTGGCTAAAGCTTCCCTTTTTCCAGTAGAGATTCTCCAGTTGTGTGTACCTGCTGTGCTGTGAGACCACTGCAGTGTCAGAAGCCACACTGCATGATGGGCCAGCAGCTGTAGCGCAATCTCTATAGTGAATTTGTCTTGTAATAAGTCACTGGCCAGCATATATCTACACTGAGTCCTGCGGAAAACTGGCTTTCCTTTCACTTTACCTCTCTAAAGACTCTTCTGTTCCCCTCAAAGGTTATAGGGGAATATGTGACCCTCTGAAATTGTGGAAATGCAAGAATGATTTTGTATATTTTAGGTGGCTGGTTGCATTACAATTAATTAATTATATATATATATATATATATATATATATGTG